CTTCGGTCTTCCTTATTCATTGTCCAGCTCTCACATGCATACCAGGCGATTGGAAATATCATGGCTTGTGTCAGGCACACCTTAGTCCTCAATGAGATATCCTTGCTCCTCAGCACTTGAAACAGTTCCTTCGCAGTTGACTTTCCCAATGCTACACGTACATGAATAGCAAAGAACTAGCACTTAGAGCCTTCAAATTGTAAGGATAAACTCCTGTGTTAAGGCCATCCCATTTATGGTATTTTCTTGTCATAGCAGCACAGAGGTAACCAGAACAGAGCCCTACAATCTTGGTCACATCTACTCAATCTGCCATTCTAGGACAATACATAAACAAATCAGTGTGGCTGTGTTTTAATAAAACTTTATTTATGGACAATGAAATTTGAATTTCATGTGATTTTCATATGTCATGATATACTATTCTTCTTTTGATTTTTCTCAACCATTATAAACTGAAAAATAATTCTTACCCCACAGGATTTCAAAAACCAGGTAGCAGGCTGGTTTTGGGCCCACAGGTTGTAGTTTGCCAACCTCTGAGCTAGACAAAAGGGAAAGGACAATGAAGAGCTCATGAAGTTTCCCATCCCACTGAATGAGTTTACAGGATTTGATAGTGTGAGAAATTAGAGCTTGTTCTAAAGATATGGAAGATACTTTCCTCCATATAAAAGGATCAAGACAGCATGGAGAAAAGGAAGAGGAAAACAATGGCTAAAAATAAGATTTGTAGTTTCTTTACAAGCTCTGTATCCCAAGAAAATCACACACAGTGAAATAAAATGCAATATTTTAAATGGTTACTACATGGTATTTTCCATTTAGTAAACTTTATCTTCATTAGTAAACAGAATTAGGAGATTCGAATGGCTGTCTTTGTCACTAAAAAATAAAAACACAATTGCAATTTGCTACAATTTTAATTTTATATCACTATATCCTCAAATTATCTAGTGACACAGAATAGAGAAAAATATAAACATTATTTTGAAAAGTGTTTGAACCCATCTTTCTACCCAAATGTGATAGCCTCCTACAGTCTATTTCTCCCAAGAGGAAACAACTTGGAGGAATTTATCTTTATTTATGTTCTTAACCATTTACCCTGAATCCTTTTGACTTTTCCATTTTGCCATGATGTAGTTCCTTCTTACTTGGCTTATTTTCCTTCCTTTTCAATTTCTACATTCCCTTAAATGAATCATAAACTTTCTTTCTGGATTATTTTTTTTATTTATTGCTTAATTTTCTGTACAACCTTCTTTGAAATAATTCTTCATAGCTCCTCTTCCCATATTCCTTCATCATGTGTAATATTATGAGTTCCCCTTAATTTACACCCGACTTCCAGCCAACCTTCTCTATCACTTGACTTCCTTTCATAACCTCCTCCTGCACTTTCTCAGATTAAATGTAATAGGGTGTTGTTTGGGGTGTGAGTAACTGAGAGAGACAAATGAAAGCATATTCTCTATGGATTTATATTGCTATACTGAGAAATATGGAGACTAGGAGTGCTGATTTCACTTGACGCCAACTGTAACAGGCGGCTAATGACTATATCCCTGGCTTTTGAAGTCTCCATGTTCTTCTCTTTAGACACTTGAAGACTAATTTGGTCCACACTTGTCATGATGAGTTCAGACCCCAAAATCTGGGTAGGAGAATTGTCATGAAACATGGTGTCCATAATGTATTGCTTATATAACTCTACCACCTTCTGCTCCAGGTACTCATTCAGCACCGCATTCGAAATAGGCTTCTGCATTTGCAGGCTACTTTTTTCTTTGATGCTGGTTATTCTCCAGTAGGATGAGTAGCGCTGGATAGGTTTTTGGGGAAAGTCACTTGGCTGAGTGGAAATGGAATCCTCCATGGACAAAGGAATCTCAGATGACTTCAGCAAAGGACCATATTCAAAACTGCTCTCAGAGGGAAAACCTGTTGTCACTGAATTAATGGCCATCACCTGGCCTCCTGCAATATGTAAGTCATTGTAATTCTTACAAATACTTTTGCAGGAAGGTGGCACCAAGTAGGTTTCTCTGCTAGTACTGTGGTCTCTACATATTTCAACTGTGGTCAAGGTTGGCCTTTGAAATACAGGATTAGAGTTTGTCTGCAGCACTGTAACTCGCTGGTTTCTGCTGTGTTGGCTCTCTCTTGAATGCACCGAAGAAATAAACTTGCCAGACGATTTGCAGCTCACATAGAGACTTCTGAGCTGTGTTTCATCCACAGAGGAATAGGAAAGGACAGCATCCACATTTGTTTCCTCTTCCTTTTCCTCAGGTACTTGCTCATGAGATGCACAGTTCCAGTGGATGTCATTCCAGTAGGCAAGTCCACTGAGATATCCTTCTGACAGCATTCTGGAAAGAGAGTTCATGAGTAATGATGGGGAAAAAGAAGATAGGAGTTTTAAAAATCAGCAGTTGACTTATGAAAAAAGTAAAGGACAATGAATGAAGTCATTCTATTCCTCACCCAGCCATCAGTAATTTAGTGTCTACTATGTACTAGGAGCTCTGGTAGTGTAGCACCTAAGGCACTCGACTGCTAACCAGAAGGCTG